GCTCTCTACAACTACCTGAAAGGAGGTTGTAGCGAGGTGGGTGTGGGTCTCTTCTCCCAAGTAACAAGCGATAGGACGAGAGGAAATGGCCTCAAGTTGTGCCAGGGGAGGTTTAGATTGGATATTAGGAAACATTTCTTCACGGAAATGTTTATCAAGCATTGGAACAGGCTGCCCAGGGAAGCGGTTGAGTCACCACCCCTGGAGGTGTAGATGTGGTGCTTGGGGACATGGTTTAGTGGTGGACTTGGCAGTGCTGGGTTAGACTTGATGACCTCAAAGGTCTTTTCCAACCTAAATGATTCTATGTTTACATGATAGTCATCACTGTTCATAGTGATGATTTATTCAGTATTGCATTTCAGAAGATATTATACAAATTGATTATGGGTGACAAAATCTATCTCATAATGATTCTATCATTAATATTAACAATTTACAGTATAAAAATTTGCATATGTAGTATCTGAAGTATTTCTTCAGTTCTTTAATTAAACCAATCCTGGGTGATGCAGGGCACATGACTTTATTGTGTGATTTGGCCTTTCTATCAAATTCCTATTGAAATTCCCCAGCAAATCTGCTGTTTTGACATGAAGTACAGAAGCATGCCCGGGTTATACAACTCTGTTGTCTCAAGAACTGTGGAAAAAATAATGTATCTCATGTTTTCTTGAAAGAACATGCCCTTTATAATACAATCTATCTTTGATACACTGATAGCACATGTGGTCATAGATATTAATTTCTAACTTTAGGACATGCTAATTCCATAAGGATTAGTCAAACCAAAAGGTTTCACATTTGCAAGTGAGCTCTCTCAAACAAGCTCTGCATGACCTCAGTCCGATAATATTGATGTATTATCTACAAGTCAGGTGATAGCACTTTTGAACTCCAGAATTAGATTCAAGCTTCTTGCAAAGCTTTGAAACCTGAAATCAAATATTCTCCAGGAATTAAAAAATAAATGTTAAAATAATTGCTCTCATTAATGACAAACATGGTGTTTTTAATTGGAAACACCTTTAGTAACAACTACTGGCTACACTATCTATATGGAAAATAGAAGGCAAATACTGTAACACTTCAGGTCCTGTTAAAAATTTAGTTTAACATAAACTGCTTGTCAGATGAACCTTGTTTTTGACACAAAAAGAATCTGCTTTCTCTAAAAAAATCCCAAATTTCAAAAAAACTGCCGAAGTAAAAGTATTCCACTCAGAAAACTAAAAACATTTTCACTGCAATCAAAGTTATCCGTGGAAAAAGAGGAAAGAAGTTCCTTTGCCATAGCATCTGCAAAATGACAATATGATGTGTATCGTACCTCTCAAGAGTTCATAAGCTGTGGCTACCTAGCTTCAGTCTGGATTGGCCTGAGATCACTTCCAGTCCAAGATACTGTGCAAACAGAGCTGTATGACATCTCAAAGCACAAGCTGATGTCAGTAAAAAACTTGTATTTTCAAATGAAGTTTTGACCTCAATAGAAGTAGCTTAAACTGTTTTCCTATTATTTTTAAGTACATAGTTTTTATGAAGGTTGCGATTAATGTTTGATACATGCAACTAGCACATCATACAGTAAAACGAGAGAAAACGGAATGAAGTTTTAATGAAAACATGAAATAGAAGATCTTTAACCAGGCAGCCATTTCATATTGTATTTATCTTTTGAAGAACATCACTCCTCCACATCCAAAGTCACAAACATAAAAAAAGAAAATAAACAGGCAACATTTTTCCTCTATTCTCCCTCCTACCCACCACCCTACCCATCCAGTAGACTGCATTACATCAGATAATATATTCTGACCACCTAGCACCAACCTGCTTCCACTTGCAGTATCATCATTTTGGATAAACTTTATCTATTGTGTATTCCATCTCCTCCACCCTCACCCGTGTTCAACAGAGATACTCAGACCTAGAGCCCTCGCTTTTGAAGGTCATTTGAGAATCCATGCTTGACCTAGAACAAAGGAGAAGTCTTTCCGACTCATCTGTGTACCTTCGTGCCCAGAGCTGCTCTCCTGCATTCGCTGTTCGAGGCTTCAGAGATAGTGTTTCAAATTTCACATAGGTCTCTTTTGCAAGGTCAGCTTCCTTTGCAGTTTTTGGTTTCACATGAAGTTTCAAAACTTTGTAGAGTAAGAAGAATATCAAAGGTAAAACAACCACACATGCTGCACTGCTGGCCAATATCAGGATAGAAAACTGAGAGCTGCTTTCATCATTTAACCTATCAGTGGAGAAAATAACGCACTGCTCTTTTGTAGGTGGCACTCCTTTGGGTGAGACACATGCCATATATTGAGTACTAGGTTGCAAACCATCAATAGTGACTTTGTTTTTGCTAGAATCAGTGCTCAGAGGCAACATATCTTTCTCACCGTACTTTGAGTATAACACAGTCACTGCAGAGTTGCTTGTGGCATTGACGGTTTTCCAAGTTAAAGTCACTCTTTCATCGGTTTCGCTGATCACTCTTAGGTTCTTTACAGTAACATTTTGCTCAGCCATACCTGCTGTATTCAATGAAATCTCCTCCCCCTTCTTGCTTATCTCCCCAGTCTGCTTTTTGTTTCCATTTGCCACTGCCTTTGAATTTTTCTTTCCATCAAACACAGGCCTGGATTGCTTCTTGTCAGTAAACCTGGTGCTCGTTGATCTTTCAGTGCTAACCAGTGCTGTGGTGGTTGGTGTGGTAGGAAGAGGTGTGGTTGTCCTCTCAGGTTCCTGCTTGGATTTCTCCTGAGTGGTATTCTGTCTCTCTGCCTCTTGCTTCCTTCCATACTTCTGGGGTGACACAGTTGTAGTAACTACACCAACCACCGTGACAGTAACAGCATTTTCTGACATTACTTCACTTGGCTTTACATCTGTATTCTCCTGCGTCCTTGTATGAAATGCCTGTCAAGCTTATTATGGACCATCTGACACCCTCTCCAGGTGTTTCTTGAATTACTACAGGAAAATGCAAAAAGTAAAACATTTTAAGAGGGAGCTAAAGAGAAAGTAAACATTATTAGACTACTTCTTCCCTAAAGTTATTTCTGCCAGAAGGAATCTCATGTATTAAACTTAACAAAAAAAACCCCAAACACCAAAACACAACCAAAAAAACCCCAACAACCAACCAAACCCCACACACAAACTATGGAAATCCCTGCCATATTATATTATTGCAGGAAAGTGCTCAGCTTAGGTCAAAATGGAACTGAATGTCTGGAGGAATTACAATATAATTTGCAATTTCACCAAGTAAAACAAAACCACATAAAAAAAAAATCAAATGTCTTAAAGCTGCTAAGTGACCAGGAAATACAAGTCTCACTGACTTCAACTGACACGGAACACACTAGCCATTTAAAACATTTTTGGAAATTACCTTTGTCTTAAGATATTTCAGTCCTTTGGACTATTACCTTCTTCAGACCTATGATTTAAGATAACTGCTAACTACTTGGCATTAGCAAGAAACACTTTTTAAAGTTACTGCATAAATATCTATCATAGCAGCTAGAATGATATCAATCACAGCCTCTTTAGCATTCAAGATGGGTGTTGCAAATAAACAATAAGTGTTTGCAAATAACATAGAAAACAGGATTTTGGAAAATCCTGTGTTTACAATGCTGAGTTTTAAGTGGCTCGGTTATGGCCTCACTAGCTTTTTTAACATGAACATTTTGAACCAAAATGGAGATTCCAGTAACAAATTCTCCTTTCTGCTTTTCAGCTTCTCAGTTAGGGCACAACTATCCCAACCTCTATTTTCCTTTATCCTTCCCCCGCTTCATCCATTTCCCCCCTCCACGCACATTGTTCTTATCACAGACCACACCCAGAATCAGTCCAACAGTCTGTTGGACCTGTTCAGACCAAGACCTAAACAAAGGATTTCATAACAGCTGTTGCACAGATTCAATTGCCAGCTTGATGCAATACCTGGTCCATTGTTACTCATTATAATGATCTCAAAGCTTAAGCAACCCAACAATTTCAGGCTCTCCCATTTCCTACAAAAGAGCAGTTATACCTGTATAGTTCACTGGTATATTGTCTGACCTAGTCCAAGTAAGCTGTGGTGTTGGGTACCCAGTTGCATCACAGCGTAGCAGAACGTTGCTTCCCAGCGGGGAAGTGATTTTTGTCGCCGACGTCATCACAGATGGTTTAAGACACTGCTCTAACTCAGCTCTCTGGAACAAGATTCCTGCCAGGCTCTCAGGTCCACTACATGAAACCAGCGGATCAAGCAGTACAACTGAGTTGTCCACAATTTTGGAAAATTCAATTAGTTTTGAAATGCGACAGTCACAAAACCATGGGTTGTCCTGCAAACCTGAAGCAGGGAGGGAAGAGGGGAAAGAAAAAAAATAATAATGTTGTCAGGCAGTATATGGATATTGTGATTACAGTATGACGCATGACCAAGTACAATCAAGGAGAATCATGGACCTATTCTGAGTTAACCTTTTCTCTTTCAATTTGTCATTTTTGTTCGGCTGATTGGTGGGGGAGTTTTTGCAGAAGTGAGGAAGAACAGTATGAGCGTTTATTAAGCTAAACTTTTTCTTCATAGAACTGTACAGGAGCATAGTAATATACTGGCACTACCTTTGCTTAACTTTGCTATTTATCTAGGAAAAAACACTTTGAAAAGATGTCTTAAGACCAATGATACATTTTCACCTGCCTGTACCTTCCGGAAAGATAGCTTCTCAGGGCTATTGCATCCTGTCACTCCCCCCTGCTCTTAGTCCTTCTTTGGGCTCTTACAGTTTGATCTTCTCAGACCCTTTTTTCAATGCTTGCAGAGAACTTGATGATTTAAGGGTTTAGAGCTTACACCAACATCTCTGCCCCTTGAAAAAAGGATAAAGGCTAAGGAAACAAAGCTTTAGGCCAATAAAATGCTTATCTGGCTCTGAACTATACCAATATTCTTAGAAATCTGGCTTCAAGTTAGGACAACCTCTGAAATACATTCAAAAAGAACAGCAGAAGAGTAGAAAATGGGAAGGATCCTGAAAAAAGCTGATTACTACAGTATTTTTATGATGGCACACAAGAACGCTCTCTCTCCTCTTCTGTTAGAAGCTATAACGTTTGCTTGTTGATTCCAAAGTCTTTGAAAGAGAGGTTTCTCCCTCTTGATGAACTTATTATGGTGAAAGAGAGTAGCTATTTCTGAGGAATAGAAGTCTAAATCCTCAGCTGGTATTGATTACTCCGCTATGTTGACCTTCATAGAGCAACAGTGGCTTCACCAGGTAAAACACCACATAGCATATCACTCATGAGTTCAAATATTTTCTCATTTGACTTATACTTTTGGGCATACCTTTTTCATTTTTTTCAAGTATTAATAATAAACAGAACTTACAGTCTGAAACGAGGGATGGTATGCAAGAACCCTTCACTGTTGAATTTACAGATTAGTGCAACAGACAAGTTATACTAATTAAACCAAAATTAAAAGAAAAAAAAACCTGAAACACCTGCTAATATTGTTCAGTGTGTATTTTTAGGAATTATCGAAACAGCTACTGGAAAAATTCTGCTTTTTGTTCTGGAAGAAACCTGCAGACGAAAGAATACATGAATAATTAACTACTGCTTCCTTTTATCACCTGACCAAGATTAGGTTATTTTAAGCACAATGGCAGTGATTGGTTAAAACTGTGGTAAACCCCAATTAATCCCCACTCTTTAAAACAAGACTTGACCTGAAGAGAATCCATGACTTTGACATCACAATCCAGTTTCACCCCTTCCAGACATAAGAGATTTTACATCTATTCAATACTTATTGCCAGCTGGAACGGAGAAGGAGAAATCAAGGAAATTGTATCAGCAACCGCTTTTCTTAAAAAAAAAAGAAAAAGAAAAAAAACCCCACCAAAATATAAAAAATTTTCCTGTGACCTTCACACATATATTCACAAGCAAAAGAGATACCATCTGAATGTTTTCCATATGTCTAGGCACATCAACTGTTTGTGCTCATAAAAATTCTGCCCAACCAAGCACATGTGTGTAACTATTTGTGCTCATCTTTTAAATTAGGCAAGCTTTAGTTTGTAGTTAGAGAGAGTTAAAGACAATATTCCTGTAATTTTTTTTTTTTAATTCTCACTTGCTTATAAAGGGTCAATTGTCCTCACTATGTTAAGAAAGTGACTATATGAGCGTTTGAAAATTAAATTCCCCTAAGGTATAAGAGGGAAGACAGGATCCCCTTGAAACGAGGCCTCAACTGCCAGAGTTCCTCCATAACAAATGCAGCTAAAATGACGTGAACTCCCAGCATGGGCTCTCTGCTATCTAGAGGACAGAAGCACGGCACAGCTGTGCTACAAGCAGGCGGCAGGGCAGGAACTCTGGGTCCGCGGCGTTAATCAGGACAGATCTGCAGCATCAGTAGGGCTCCCATCCCACATACCAGGCAGCAGATTCTCCCTTACATTGAACGCTACTGAAAATATTTCTTCTGCGACCTTTCTGCATCCTACAAGCTTTACTGCAGGAAAGGATGGGTTTTATTATTGTTTCTAATACTACTAGCAGTGCTCAAAGGCCTTTCTAATAGAATCATAGAATCATTTAGCTTGGAAAAGACCCTTAAGATCATCAAGTCCAACCGTTAACCTAACACTGCCAAGTCCACCACTAAACCATGTCCCTAAGCACCACATCTACGTGTCTTTTAAATACCTCCAGGGATGGGGACTCAACCACTTCCCTGGGCAGCCTGTTCCAGTGCCTGACAACACTTTCAGTGACAAAATTTTCCCTAATATATATAAATGACTGGCTTTCATATTCTCCCAGTGTCCCAAAGAAGACCCAAGTTGTTACAATAAGTATCAGAAATTGACAAAATAGAAGGAACAATGAAGCAAAGATGGATAGTCCTTAGATTGGATGGTTGTTTAGTCCAGTGTGGGACACAGGTTTGACCATCTCAGATCATTCTGAAGGCTTGGTTTCAGCTTCAGAAGAAAGCTGTAGTGCCAGAAGACTCTGTACTCCTGTGCTTTAGTGCAAAGAAAGAGTTATTTCAGTTAGTCACCTCATCTCCCCCATCCATCATGCTTCCCAGCAGAACTGGCTAGAGAAGCAGGACTTATATAAATACATATAATATATACAGCTACAGGAGTTCCTTCCTTGCCTCCACGGCTCATCCCTTCTATTTATCTGTGTCTTGTCAATATCTAACAGTATTCACATTATTTTTAGTAAACTTGCACAGCCATTATACGTCCTTAAGTCATGTGAATTGCCAAAATGAAAAAGATGAAAGCACTATTGAGTTGGAAGCAAGGATAAAACATTGAATTTTATTATACTTCAGTTAGCTATTGAAGAGAACAGAAATGGGAATGTAAACCTAGTTTCCAAACTACAAAGGGCACTCTGAAATTTAACAGCTTGTGTTTACAAGATGGTAAAAGTGAGAACAAACACATGAAAGAATAAAGAAAAGGTTAAAAAAAAAGGGAAAAAATTAAGAAACTAGAAAAAATGGGGAGCTTTAATAAAGGACTGAGATGGAATCCCCTCAGGAAAATAATTTCCTAGGAAGAGGAAATAAAAATAATGATAAGTCTCCAATGGCACGTGTATCTGATGCAACAGCAAGTCTTCATATATTCTGGATTGTTTTGTAGAAATATTAAGGCAGCTTGTTGACCTGAGAAAGAAATACTAACCATGGCAAAACAAACATTGATAAATATTTATGCATTGCAATACACCAATGCAGTGTATTTTAACATTAAATATGGATTATAAATTGTTCTAAAAACCTTTCTTTATTCTAGATTTAGCATATTTTAAATTTACTCTCACACATTTATATGCATGCTTGCATATACAATGACAAATATATGTATGTGTGTGTCTGTGCATGCACATTTCTGCAGTCTTCTCAATGAGCAGGGTTTACCCATGCTGTGTCAATATGGACTTTAGCATTCGAAATAGCTAGGAGCGAAATTTCCTTTGTAAATCAGTAACCAGTCTCAGACCATAACTTGTATAATATACTGCTTTTCAGTTGCTGTAAAATGGCAGTATGTGAAATATTCAAGTTTTGGGCCGACGGAAATATTCACCACAGCTTGGGCCAACCTACCCAAGGCTCTCTTCCAACTGAAGCTACAAAATTTTTGATCCATGGTTCTAAACAGTAAAGCCCACTGCCTGCACTGTGTCCCAGTGTTTCCTACACACAGTAATTGCTAGGGAGTAGTTTCAGGAAAAGCAGCATCTACCCAATGGCCCAACATAACAGCTGGGAACCTGATGGACCTGCAGCATTTCAAATTTTTGGTACCTCTACATGCAACAGAGGCAAGATCTCATCTAACTGCCACTCTGTCAAATCCTGGATTCCTCTGTTCCTCTCAGTGACTCACTAGATGTAATTTTCCATATGGAAAATGCTACTGCCATCATTCACGCCAGAAATGTCAATATCTGTACAGCAGCCAATGCTGAAACTTAGCTGTGATTTGGATAAAAGTATTAGGCTATAGCTCTAGAGGTAACCAAGAGAGGACCAGATGAACTCACGCACTGGTCCCTCGATCATTTCCACTGCTTAACTGTCAGCTCACTCCACAGCTTTGTTTTGAACTGTTCCAAAGGGCGCTCTCCAAGACAAAGCCAGGTGTGGCTCCAGGGACAGTTTGCACTCCAGAGATTGCTCCCTGAAAGGCTTATGGATGAGACCACACCAAGGACGGCTCTCTCCGTCCTGTTCTTGCCCCCAGTGTAAGTGCAGCAGGCTTTGCACCTCCAAAACTATCCTGCATGCCTATCAGCCCATCAGGCATACAACATACCCCTGCTATTTTATACTAGAAAAGCACAATTCCATGGGTTGCAATGCAATTCTCACGTTACTTCAGGCAGTTTGAACTGATGAAAAGACACCTCCACCCACACAGTTACATTTTAGAGTCACTGCAGCATCCCGTAGAGCCCACAGAAAACCAAGGGCTAAATCTTACCAAGTGTGGAACAGCCAGTCAGCTTTAAAGAGAGCTGGCCCTAAACTGTGTGGATGAGAGCCAGAGTGAGCCACTTGGCCATAGGGCCAGGAATCATTCCCTGACCCTCTTTCATTTAGCATAGTGTCCACACAGAGGAACATCATACAGTGGGAGGTAATAAAAAAACCCCCGAACTCCTAAATACAGAGATTATGAATTGGAATAAGGAGATGCTAGCCTGCCCGTCCCCTGGCAAAAGTAGTCCATGGTTCCTCCAAGAGTCCTTGAAGTAAACGTGGGGAACCTGAACTTTCTCTTACATGCAACCTTCTTGATGCTCAGTCAAGACACTGAAGATAAAATTGCTTCCTGGTGTTAAAAAATACATATGCACAAACCTTTGAGTTTGGGGCTTTGCTGTGTTGATCTTGTTAATTAAATACAAGTGACAATCTTTTTTTGCCAGAAATAGGAGAGAAGCCAGCTCAAGCCATAACTGCTTACACTAAGTAGAATCTGACTGCTGTTTTCCTGACTAGACAAAAACAGCATTTATTTGCTCTGGCTTCCAGCTTCTAGCGGAGCTCTCGCTGCAGTTACCATTCCATGCAGGCACATAGGTCAGGCTGAATGTTCCCACAGAGAACGCCTGGAGCACCTTGAGCATCAAAGCGTGCAATCATGGGCATCACATTTTAAGATAAACCTTTTTTTTAAAACCCAAAAGAGTCCAAAGGCAATCCGTAACTATGGTAGAAAATGAAAAAAAAAACCACCTCACAGTCTATAAGAAACTGGTGAAAGAAATTGTGTGATTAATTAAGGCAGCAATCAGGGAAGGAAAATGTATGAAAGGTTACTATAAGGGATGGTAATTAGTTTTTCTGTATGTCCATCTCATGTAGGACAAGAGGTAATCAGCTTAGTTTGCAGTAAGGGAGCTTGAGGTTAGATATTAAGAGAAACTTTCTCACTATCCTGATAGATAAGCACTGGAAGAGGCTACCAGAGAAGGCTCTGGAATGGTCTGGCCGCAGGCTTTAAGAACAGCACTGACTTAACCAGAGCAGTTCAGTTCATCTGGATCTGCATCCCAGCAGGCTAGAGGCCTTTTTGAAATCCTTCCTGATCACATACCTCTGTGATCCTTATCTCCATCTCAGAGAAGGAGGAAGGATAGTTTCTCCTCCCTCAGGCTCCAGCAATCCCGGCAGAGACAGGAGGGGTGTCAGAGAGGAAGCAATGCCACAGAGCACATCTTGCTCCTGTTGTTCTAAGCCGATATCTCCTATGGTTGGAGCATTATAGAGACATCTCAACTCCTAGGTCATCTTTCTAGCCTGACAGTTTCTGTCAAACACTCATTCCTGAAAAACAACTGCTTTGTAACAGTCCATCAACAGCAACCTAAGGACGAGCCTCTGGCAGTGAGTGTAAGTGGCATAACTACAACTTTGCAAGTTCCAGTAATATAGATAATAAAACTAACACTTAGTGGAGACTAAGTAAGCTTGTCAAAATAACCCATGACAAAGAGCACTGCACTTTCTAATCTCCAGAGGAAAGGGATGTTTTCTTATTCACTATAGAGTTTCTTATATAGCAAGCACTGTCTGTCTGTGTTGGGATATACTCATCAGAAGGCTATGATGTCAATGAAAGAAAATTCAGCTAATTATTCACAGCTTACCTAAGGTAGATTTACTCAACACAACACAATGAAAGTACTACCCGGCATTTTGCATTCTCAGATCCAAATCTATAATGACTGCACAGACCCTCCCTCAGCACGTAACATTAAGAAAAGAGAAGCAAGGTACTGTTTGAACCCAGTGTGCATTCCCCTCTGGAGATCAGTGTTCAAACCCAACTGTAGTTCATAAATGAAAATGATCCAAAGGTCACATCCCAAGTCTCCAGAGAACTCAGTGCTGGCACAGAGGGTTTGTCAGGACTAGAGGCGGCTGGCAAAGTGCCCGCACCAACAGAGCCTGCAGATGGTTGCCAGGGGGAAGGGGAGGAGAGAAAAGTGTGTGTGGTTTGGGGTTATTTTGGTGTTTGTTTGTTTGGGGGTTTTTTTTTGGGGGGGGGGTCTTTTGGTTTGTTTTTTTTAAGTGGTGAGGGCTATGTAAGACAAGGAAACCAGATAACTTCTGGGACTCCCACATGAGATCATCAGGAGGATTAGATCTAGCACAGTCAGCTCCTACTTTACTGCCTCCTGTAGCCATCAGTGTGGGGACAGGGAAAGGGGTACTGAGCTGGACTTACTTTTACAGATTTTTTGGGTTTTTTTAGTCCTGAATAAACAAAGATCCTATTAATGCTGCAAACCTACAGTCACCATGCATGTGAGGAACTCGCTCAGCCTACTTGCATCTATTAAGTTACTTATATACAATCTCATCTGAATCAGAGTTTCAAATTGCAGCTTCTGCTGTGAAACAAAACAGCTGAACATATGAACACTGAATAGCGGCGGTTGAGATCAAGAAATTGGAAATACTGGGCAGTACAATGCAGGGCAGATCTTTATCAGTGGATATAGAACTACTGCAGTAGAGAGAGCCAGCTGGTTTTCCTCCCTTCCACCTGCTACACTACACTACACAAACATCAAAACATGCACTTACACATAAACAGCAACAGAAGAGAACACTTTTCTGAGACTGCAGAAGAGAAAGGGGTTATCTGCAAGACTAGGAAGTGGAGAGAAAGTGTAAGATAAAGCACAAAGTCACAAACAGAACTGATGTGATGGTATACTAAACAGATGGAATAAAATTATGAAAAAAAATCAGTCTGGCCAAACTATTCTTAAATACTTATCTTAAATATTATAAAAAGTACTGTGAAGTTGTAGGGATCAGATTCCTATTTTCTCTCTCATATTCAACACGTAAACTGGGAAGAACTTCCAACCCAAACTATTCTATGATTCTATGATTCTATGATAATCAGTCAGCTTTGGAGCAACGCAAGGTCAACAGGAGTCACAGGGAGAGCAGAGTTGCCCTCTTTTGAGCCACCAACACTATCTGCAGCACTGTGTCTCAGGACATATGAGCATCTCTTCATATGAGCATCAACTCTAGCTACTTGTTTGGCTTGTGAGCCACTGGAAAAAACAGTTGCAAATGGACATGCTTGCAGTTGCAACCACATACGGTGATGAGGGAAATGTCATCAGAAACACAAGTTTTGGAAGTCCTGCATTTATATGGATACTGAATACTCCATATGGCCTGTATTGCTGTAGACCAGAATCTCGTAGATTTTGCTTCAGTTCTATAACCTTGAGATAACAACATACACAGAGGTCACCATCTTCATTTTATAGTTGTCTGTCACCAACAGAAAATAAATAAATAAATAATCACAGAGCAAACCAGAAGACTGACCTGGATAAAACCCACTCTTCTGAATCCCAGGCTGGTCCCCTACCTGCTGTCACTTGCAACTTAACATTTAGGTGCATTTTAATAAGCAACGAGACGGGCTGTTTAACGTACCCAAAATGACTCTCTGGGTCACCAGAATGTCTGTGTTCTTGGACAGGACAGCTTCTGAGAAGGGGGGCCAAATGTCCATCAAGTCTGATGGCAAGGTCGTTAGCTTGTTGCTGGATATGTCCAGGTAGGTGAGGTTTCTCAGGTACCGG